CTTTTAATGGACTTAATATCCTGCTTTTTCACAAGGGAAATAATCCCATCACAAGGCTGCAACTATATTAAGGAGCATTGGTTTGCAGCGTTCATCATATAAATACCAAATTGGGCTGTGTGCATGGAGTCTGACATTTAAGAATGAATGTGCTGCAGCAAGAAAATCTGAGGCTTTGCAAGAATGAATGAATTTTGGCACCATTAAACAATAGTTTTGCTTTTAAAGCATGATTCCTTGCAAGTCATTTCTGGCTGTAAGATCTTCTAACGTATTCCTTTGTAAATTCTCTTCTAATACAGGAGGCCCCAGAGCAGGTCTCTGAAAGATTAGTTTCAGATCTTTGAGAGATTCATCGACAACTGGGGTTCATCGTCTGTAGGAATGACGGGCAGAAAAATCCTTCACCGCAAAATCACAAGCGTGTGTGGAAACACATACTCAGAAAGCTGGCTCTTTGCAAAATAATCATTGTCTCTGGATTTCCAGTGCCTAATTTATAATTTCTGTATGACCATAACCAGGAGCCGGAGTCACTGCCAGTGGGTCAATGGCAACAGGACTAACAAATAACTGCCACAGGATACCTTGAGGCAAATCAGCCCCTGACAGGTTCATCCCTTCTGTTGAAGGTGGCGGGAGACAGGCTCGGCCAACAGCTATGTCCTTGCCTTCCCTGCCTAGACCTGACAAGGTTCTGTTCAAAGCTAATGATAAACCTGAAATAAAATAATAAAAAAAGACAGTTCAGGTAAGCACTCTGAAACGCAGATGGCTATGTGGGCTGTCCAAGTAGCTTTCGCCTGCAACAACAGGGACTGCAAAATTAATCTGAAAATATCTACTTTTTCTGCTTTTTATCCTGTCAGAAGCCCTGTAAGAACAGTTGTTTCTCAGGTGATTTTCTGGCACTGAGACTCACTCGGTTTACAACTCTGCCCCTCCAGTACTGGTCAGGATCAGGAGAGAGATTCAGAAAACAATAATTAAAAGACAGTTACAGAATGCCAGGCAAGGAGTGGCGATGCCCTCAGGGACAGACAAAGCAGGTGGCAAAAGACGGGGCAGGCAGGAAAGTGCTAAAAGTTTCAGTACTGCACTGGTACATTTGCTTGGATTTAAGGTTTGTTTAGGCCAGCGGTTTGTGTTGCTATTTGCCAGAACACTTAGAGCTCCACAACTTTTTGATATCTACTTCATAGCTTGTGTCTGTGTCCAGCAATGTAAGAAGATGACACAGAGAAGGTGCCTGAAGTTAGCCTCTGAAGAGGTGAGAAGGCTTATACCGCCTTTGTATCAACCAGAAACATCTCTGGGGAAATCAATAATGCAACTTCTTTCCTTTGGATTTAATTAAAGAAACATTTCAGGCTGCAATTTGAAAGGAAACACAAACAACAACAAAAAAACATTGGCTTTCTCTTACAGCTACTATCTCTCCGGTGCACTGGAAAGTGAGGGGGAGGAATCATTCTCACATAACATGTAGAGAACAATTTTTTAATGTCTTAATTATTTCCCGTGTGCATAAAGCATTTCAGTCCTATTGTGTCTTTTCACAATCTGTTTGGGGTCATTGGTAAGCAGATCACTTTGCCCACCCAGAGGACTGTGAAACTCCAGGCAAAGCTAGAGAACTGCATGTATGTTTGTTGGTCCAGGGTTACCACTCCTGATGTTTACAGTCTCCCCCATGTCCTTTGACAAATCAATTTATAATATACAGCTTGTGTCTAGTTAAAAGCCCAGTCAAGACAAAGCAGTTGGTATGAAACTCCACAGCAGTGCACAGATTATCAAAAATACATCAAGTCCTCCATGATCTTTGACTTTCTACATCAAGGGAAATGTCAAGCCTCAGCTACTTTCTCAAATTACTGCTCCCCAAAAAATCCAGACTATTGTTTCTACCTCCTAGATAAAGACTGGCTGGCAACTCTGAGCCTTGGGCTCCCTGGCTTGCTTTTGTAAGACTGAAACTGGACTGAGGAGGGGCTGAGCTCTTGCTCAGTCATGGAAGACAGAGCCAAGACCATCAAGATCAAGATGGTCCTCTGCTGCCCGGGCACCATGCACCTCTTTGCTGTCCTCTTACCAGCATTATGAAGGAAGAGATCCTTGAGTTAAAAAGCAATACAGCAGACTCAATTTATTCTAGAACAAACTGCCCATGAGAGATGTTAGTCAGAACCTTAATGCACTTTTGCTTACTTCCATGGAAAGTAAGAGTGGGTAAAGCCAGAATTTCTCTGGATTTCAAAGATAAGAATTAAATTTGACTCAACACACTTCTAACACCAACGCTGCACCATGTAGGTTCAAGCCAATTCTAGTGAAGTACTTTGTGCTTGGGAGTATGGAATTCCTTTCCACCTTCCACGGCATTTAACATACTAATTGAGTTGTAGTCATCAAACCCAAATTATTACAATTAACATTCAGTCTGTCTCTGCTGGACAACCTTCTGTATAAGTTACGTTTGAAGATATTCCAAAGACACGTTCATTCCAAATGGAGGTAAATAAGTGAGTGACACTATGGTGTAGGTGGGATCTGTGAAAAGAGACATCAACTGTGGAATATCTTCTGGAAAAAGAAACACATATTAATCTTTGAGGTGTTTATTTATAGTATACACACAGAGAGATATATATATCACCCAGGCTTATTCAATCACATGTAAGTCAACCTCCCTTTCAGTAAAAGACTTTCTCAAGGAACAGAATAAGCAATTGAACACTTAAAAAAATTTCCTGCTGCACTATGCAATGTCTCTGCATTTTCCAGTTTTACTACTTTGACAATTCTGAATTAGCATTTATTCATAGCAATTCCTAAAGTGTCACCAAATGAATTCTGCACTGAAAGTCTATGCAAATGAAACTGTCCGTGTTACGTCCCACCCCTATCTGCAAACACATTGGGGCAAAGAGCTTTCTCCTGATGAAACTTCTGTCAGTCTGGAGCTGGGACAGAGAGTTTGTGCAAAGCTTTGTCACAGTTCTCACTCCTGCTCCTCAACGACAGGACCCTGAGTACCCAAAGTGCACTGAGCACTGAAGTTCAGGATGAACAGTTTGCAGCTAGATGTGGCAGTGACTGCTGTGTTTGGAAAGCAGCTGCCTCTGGGGTCGATTAAAGACCAACCATTTTCCATTCTTAGTAGAGAAAGTAGAATTTTTATTTTTTTTCCCCGGGTGAACAGCAATAGGAGGTTGGTAGGAAGGCACAATGCATGAACTTGAGAGGTATTTAAAATTTCTTTTCTTCACCAGGGGAAGGAATTTGTCCTGGTATCAGAATTACCCTTGGAGATGAGAACAAGGAAAGCAAAGTTGGGACTTGTAATTTTTAGACATGTCACTGCACTCTCCTAGGCAGCATCTGTTTCTGAACTGGCCCAGCTGAGACCTGTGGCCACCCTGGGCTCCTGGGCCTCTCCTCCACACAGGCTTCGTATGACTACGCTCATCAGATGTTGTGCCAAGCTCAGTCACTGGTGAAGGCTGTAAGCATGGAAGCTCTAAGACGCAAGGTTGTACAGCTATTCCTTAGTCTAACAGTCCAGAGTTTAGACATCTACAAACGAGGGCTGTAAATCACCAGAAGGTCTTGCCAGATTTCTTGAGGAAGGCTCAATATATTAAAGCAATGGGCATGATTCAAAACATTTTGCAGTGAACCCTCATGAGGCTGGGGAAAAAACATCAACTTTTAATGTACTTTCCTTCTAAAATCTTGGTTTCTTTTCTTTCACAGTCAATAAATGCAGGAGGTATCACGAAAAGTAAATTTGTTGGGCAAGTGGAGACAAATTTTCAAGGGGGTCCTAGGGAATCTGAGCTTTCCTCATCAAGCAAGAAGGCACTTTCTGAAGCTGTGGAGATGACTGCAGCTGTGCATGTTTCTGGGGAGAATGACAAAAAGTTGGATCTTCAGTTTAATGGCACAGGATAGGGGGGGAAAAACAGCATACGGAAAAACTGTCACTTCCATCCCTTAGCAGTGTCATCTAACAACACAAAATTCTCCTCCAGGATTCTTGGGGTTAGGATTTATAACATGGCAGAAACACCTTTCCTAACCAAAGATAATGTGGAAACCTGCTAAGGTATTTGGAAGGTCTTTCCAAACAGCGAAGCTGCACAGAAAAGCTGCAGGCATCCCTGGGACAGGAGGGCACAGGTGTTTCAGGCGGAACTGCCAGTACTTTAACACAGGAAGAAGAAGATGCTATATTCTTTTGGAACATACAGAAAGAATGTGAATTTATAAAATATATTTACCCACTCTGGAATTTAGCCAGGGCTAAGGAGAGAGTATTTTTGACAGCCACATACAGTCAGTATTTCAGCCTTATACCTCCTAAAGGCCTGGGTCAACAGTCTCTCTGAACAGGCAAATGAACTGGGGAGCTCTTCTCTCCCTCGTCGTGTGATTCCGAGTTGAAATGCCTCCGCATCATTTAACCACGTACCGAGCGCATACATCTAACATCCCATCAGCTCCTAGCACACCTGTGCAGCCTGAGGTGACTACATAAAAGAAGCTAATAAAGCAGCGCTTACATTTCATTCATTTTATTCACCGGCTTGAGATTTCAGGGATGGAACGGAGCACAGCTGGCCTTTGGATGTTAAATACGCTTCATAAGCCAACACCGGTTGCCCACAGGCA